TCTTTACCGAAGTACAGTTGGGGCTTTACAGTATCTGACATTCACTAGACCGAACATTGCTTATGTGGTGAATAAATTAAGTCAATTTTGGCAATCTCCTACACTTATTCATTGGCAAGCAGTGAAACGGGTTTTACGATACTTAAAGGGGACAATTCAACACGGGTTACATTTTAAACCAAGTGAGAGAATTACACTAATTGGATATTCTGATGCAGACTGGACATGTAGTCCCGATGATTGCAAATCTATTGCTGGTTATTGTGTTTTTCTTGGTACTAATCTTATTTCATGGTTATCAAAGAAACAACATGTTGTTGCTCTGATACCATGTTAGAAAGGATTTTGGGCCTAACTCCACCTAATAAAATCGATTTATTAGGGGAGGATTGTCCTCACCTTATTAAGTGGATCATTTATATTTTTCCAGGCAATGTGGGATTCTAATATCTTACCATCGCAAAGAGCCCTACTCCGTCATGTCTCCTATACTCTGGTTCCAATGGAAATTTTAAAGCCACCAGGAGTCCTATTCTATCTAGTCCTATTCAATGGCCTTTTGACTTGTGCACCGAAAGGGCTACAGGAACATCTTCCCTAACCTTTTTTGAGGTTGTTCGAAGGTCCTGTTTGTGCTCCTTCCTCTCTCAGCTCGAGATCGGGCTAGTCTTGGAACAAATTTTGGTGGCATCAGATACCTCGACATGACCAGATCTGATAAAAATGTCAAGACTCGTCCGATTCCACCCCGAAACAACGGGTAGAAATCAATCAATTGGATTCAGCCCGACATTAAATGTCTAAAATTCTTATATTTCATAGAATACCAGTGACTTGAACCCACGTATTTTTTGTTAAACTCCACACCTTAAAGCCAAGTGATATTTTAGTAGGCAAAACTCGATATACAGACGAACTAAAATATTTAAAAAACAAATAATCCTCAAGTTCAGGGGAAATTTCTCAGAAGCTTGACAAAATACTCACATGGCGAGCCCCCACCATGTATTAAAAAATTGTGTGGCACCCACACGTGTGAGTGTGCTGTAAGTTTTTTGTGAAAAAATTCCCTGTACCTAAAGCAAAACTCTTTAAAAAATTCTATAGCTTTTTTTATTTTGAACGACATAGTTTGTAACTTTTGAGTAAATAAAAAAAAAAAAAAGTGTTGTGAAACAAAATAATTTATAGAGCAATAGTATAACATTAATTAATATGTATACACCATTTTTTTTTATTTAGATATAGGATTTACTACCAATCCATAAAATGAAACAGCGAATCGATGACTTATCCAAATTCATAAGTGGTTTTAAGTACGATAATTATGTCCTGGACTGATGCTAAGAACTCAAACTGCAGCTGTACATAAGGATAAAAGGAAGAAATCATTGCATTAAAGGACAAAATGCCATAATTTACTTTCTTTCTACATTAAACCCTGAAATCAACGGACAAACTATTTTGACACCTAGCCATATTAGTTCACCTGTCTAATTTTCTTTCAAATATA